TCGAACATATCTCTAGACCTTTCTGGAATTTTTCGGTTTCGACTAGTTTTGGAGGAGTTATACAAAAAAAGCGGTTATCACTGTAATCCACCCGAAATACTGCTTTTGGAATGTAGATTTTTCCGGCTAGGTTTTTTCCATGATATTTATACATGGTTGGAATCAGCATCGAATTCTGAACAAAATGGCTCATTTAGATTTTCCCGAGAACCGCTCTACAACCTGGTACAAATGGATTCCCAGATTTTCGACAAAAAAACTTCCGCAACGAAGTAGCGCGTTACGTGAACAAGCCGCCAATAGTATGTTTGTGAACAATACATAATCTTTCATTATAGCAGACAGATAACTAACGGAGTATTGAAAGCAGTAAGATAGGTGAACATCATTATATCGGCGATGTATTTCAACTATTGACCCATGTGGGCATATCCTTCAAAGATTTATTTATAGCTCATTTTGAGGCTCGCGAAATTCTCTATCGAATGGTATATTTAACCTAGTGCCTAGGTTAGAAACATTGATCATAGAATCCTCATCGTTGAACAAGTCGTCCACTTCTCACAGCTTTGCTGAAAATATTTCTAATGTTAAGGTACCCTAGGACACTTTTTTCACTTTTGTACACTTTATATGATCATCAAAAAGATTTCCGAGTTGAAGTGTAGATTTATTTAAATTTATCTGTTAATAACTGCAACGTCATATGATAGGTTCTCTGTTGCTCACGATATATACACCTATCTTTCTCAAGATTTACTCTCTACGGTTCCTTTACAACGTGTGTCACATCCGCCTTTTAACGAAAAGAATGCCAGAACATCGTTGCAAGGCGGCATGAGAGATGATGGGTTAGAGCATTGACTACACCGACTAAATGAATTTTTATGCATAAATAACGGGTGCAATTTGAATGGGAAATACTTTGCACGCTAGAATATCTCAGCTTAAAAAGTCACGTTCAAAGCCAAAACTTTTGAGAAATCTAGAACTACTGTATTACATCTTTTGTAAAATGGTCAAATATAGGCCTAGAACGATAGCATTCCCGTCTTCTTACGCTATGCATCGATTGATGTATAACTCAATTTTTTAAATCTTACTTGATGAAGGGAATTTTTAACGCATGTAGTTGATCATTTTGTGTGGTAACTATTTCTACTAAAGTGAAGAATGTTTTCAGTTTTCAAAGCTGTAAACTAAAACATTCATAACAGGATAAACATCATCATAATTTTATTTGTTTTTTGTTATATATTTTAAAGCATACATTTTACAAGATAAGACAAGAAAAATAAATTTATTACTACAAGCAAGAACACAGAAAATTATATTTGTTCATTCATTTCTATTTTATTGTTAATTTCAATTCTTGTTCTTCTATTTTATCCTTGGTTATTGTCCAAAATAGTCGATGTTGCTAAAATAAATAATAAGAATAATAATAAGAATAATTGTGAACTGGAAGCTCATATTAATGGATCAAAATGTGCTGAATGAAAAATTTTAGTTTTATCAGTGGTAATTTTACCTATACACTTCCGTTCTGTGTCTGCACAGTTTCTTTTCTTCTGTTCTATTCACAAATATTTGTTGAAAGAATGCAGCCAATATCGACATAATGAAGGGGACACATCCCATTTAAACTATACTTGCAGTGTTTTTATGGAGAGAGGGAGGCGTCGACTTTCTGCTAGGTATTTGCCGGTCTCGACTTTGGAACCGATACCCCATGATAGGAGATCTCCGAACACTAAAAAATCATTGAGTTGTTTTATTTCATGTGCAAACTGCTCAATCACAAAATTTCACACAGACTCTCAGTTTAAATTGAAAATAAGAAAAACGAGACTTTATCTTGGCAGAAAAACATCGGAGAGATCTGGAACTCGATCGAACGAAAAATATTCAGAATTCAATTTTGCGCATTTTGCATGATGTTTCTCTGGTGAAAACAAGAGTAACTACGTTTCTCCTCGCAAACTAAGAGTTTTACTAAATGTTTATAGATTCTATTTGATACTTGAATTGAATTCTAAATATTTTTTGTCTGAATTTCAAATCTCTCCAATTTAACTCAGGAGCAGAATGAGCTGAAAATCTGAAACGTTTTGCGAATATCTTGAGCGAGTTAACAAATTTTCTTCTCTTTCTCTCTTTTCTTGTTTATTTGTGTAAAGAGAACGGTTTCCCCTTGTCGCTGTTTGTTCTATGAAAATCTAAGTTTAACTGTGATTGATCTAGTGGAATAAACTATAATTGGGATTACGAAATGGGAGAGATAATGAAGACCTACGTGGAGAATAATTTTGGATGTGAAAAAATTTTTAATTCGTCGAACCCAGACAGGAATCTTTTCGACGGGCCAGTTTCAGCTAAATAAATGTCCTGCGCGACGCTCTCTGTTTCGTATTGGACAGTTCTACACACATTCATATCTATGATTCTTCATTTAAACAAGAAAGCGCTCTTTTATCAGGAAACCCAATTACTCATTTTTTAAAATGGTAAATATGAATTTGGGGCTTGGAAAACAGTCAAATGTAGATCCAATTTGTTTTTTATCATTTTTCATCAGTTCAATTATATCGATTTCAGCTCTCATTAATTTGCGTAATACGAACTGTTGCATGTCTTCTGTCAATTGAAGGACGAGATAGTGGAATAGAAAACAAATCTTTTAGGTTGTTTAGTGACCCTATATGTGCGAATACATGTTTGTCTTTCAGATGTTGTTCGCCATTACAAATCCTCACTAGTTAAATATGCTCAAAAATAGCTCTCCTGGCTACTTACCGGCTTTTCCACATCTTCCACTAACAACTTCACGGTCATCACGATCCACGTCGGTTATGGCTTTTAGTAAATTTGTAAAGAAACAGCTTTTTGCCCACGGATAATATGTCCAAGCTATACAATCTTTTATCAACTCACATTGATCACGACATACTTCTGGTTTCTGAACATTTGTTTTCATACTCACTGGTTCATGATCATGATAGTTAAATTGAATACCGACTATGATTTCCGTACATTTCTTGTTTTGCGTAGTAGATAAGGTAGTAGTTTTAGTAGTGGTCTTGGTCATGGTAGTACTAGGTGACGGTTTTGGCTGTGATGGTCGAAGAGTGGTCGATGCTGTGGTTGATGATACCGATGTGCCTGCAAATATTAAAGAAAAGACGACAGATGATCAAGTGTACGAGAGAAGTGCTTGTCACTGAAACATCTAATGTTTTTCCACGCTTCAAACTCGGCTTCCGCGCATAGGATTCAGTCTAGAAAACCAAATTTCGATGATAAAACCTTAGTCGCTTTAACGAAAAAAACAATTTGATCTGTGCGTGTCAAATGAGCGGCGTGACTAGTTCATCATAACTATTAGCGAAGGATTTCCGCGATCCCCTATATGCTTTTTCAGAAGCCGGTCAGAATCTACCCGCTATTGGGGAATATGACATACACAGCTCTTCTACGTTTTCTGTTTCTTCGGCCTGTTAATTAAAACAGAAAGGTATTTGTGTTACTTTACAATATAGACAGATCAGAAATTAATTTAGATGCAAATGGTTTTGAGCCTGAAAAACCACTTTTACACTAGTCCCTCTGAAAAACTTACATTAATAACAGTTTACTTTTTCATGTCAGAGCTCAGGTTTAAAACTTTAAAATATTCTCCTAATATTCTAATCTAATTTTTGATTATCTTGTCGTAAAACCTCGAATGCACTTTTAAGACAAGTAGTATTCCATAGTTTCAGAGCGACTAACACCTCAAATATCTAAAAATTTGTAAATTTAATATGCACTACTATTACTGGCTCATCCCATCATAAAAGCGTCTTAGAAAACAAACTTTTTGATCATTTTCTGACGATTTACAGCGTGTTTTAATACAAAAAATGAAACGTTCTTCGTGATATCGATTTTTATACTGTTAACCAACACCGGTGCATATCTACTACACTTGCTATGTAAAGAACGTTTTCTACAAAGCGTTAAATTCAAGAACAAAATGTACTGTTTCATCCACTCTTAGTCATTTCCAATAGAAAGAGGTATATTTCTAACTGATCTATTATCGTTTTTCGATATCTCAGTTACTCTATAATCGTAACACTTTCAACTCGTGCGATGCTCATAACTTTGGTCTACTGATGTGATGCGCTGCTTTCTAACATGAACCTTTTATACAGAATAAATAGAGCTTCATACCTGTACCACTGGGATCATAACAATATATTTTATAAACTTCGATGTCTTTAACATGTAATTTAGATGATCCTGTAAACAATTCTTTGCCTTTGCCAGTTGTATCATTATATGTGCTTGGAAAAGCAGAATATGATCCGGAATCACTTTTATTTGACATTGAATAAATACCGATATCATATCCATATCCAAAAACTGGACCGAGACTAGAGGAATGATAAACAGCATAGGCAGTCTCACTCGGTTTAATTAAGAATTTTGTTGGTGGTTCCTCATCTGGATTTGTTAATGTAAATAAAAATGCTTTTGAATCGTTTTTATGACCTGACTCGACACTCCACGATCGACTCGTAAATCCACCAAATAAATAGTTACCAAGTTTCGCTTGTATAACAGTCATTGTTGGTCCTTTATCATCACTAGATCGATGAAAATCTTCTGCTCTGAAACCATCTCTTGTTGCTTTATAAATTAATTCCCAGTTTTGATTTGGTTTACCATAAATTGCATTTAATTTTTGTTGATATTCACTAGTTAAAAGGCTGCTACCGATAAATAACTGTTGCTGCTTAACAGCAACATCAGTTTTCGTGCCTAAAATACATTTTAAAAAAAGAAAAAGGTAAAAACAAACTAATAATTACTGCGAGATTGTGGTGTTGTATTTCTTTTAAAAGAAACAACTGTGCTGTGTATTTGAAAGTTGCGAGAAGGTAATCTAATACAATACTTAGGAAATATAAAATTAGGTTTTTCCATATAAAAGTATCTCCGTTTTTGCCTCACATAGATTCTTCTCTGTTAAAAGCGTACATGGCAGTTATGAAAAGATAAACGGCATAACAAACATTTGTAGAAAAGCACTTTTTGTATTAGTGATCAAATTACGGTATTTTAGTATCCTCTGAAGGCAGAAAGGTATTCATCTATAACGACAACTTTCTCAATAAACTATGGTTGTGTCCAACTAATCGGAAACTATGAAACACTCATGTTTTACCACGGTTTTTCATACAATATGCATTAGTCCACGTTTTACCCACAGGATTGAAAGTGCAAATGAATTCTTCTCAACTCTGCTCAAGATGATATGATCTTCCTCTCATATAATATCGGTACAAGTATTATTCGTGGCTAACAAGATCACAACTCAAGAAAAATTAAAAATTAATTTGAGTTTTTAATTTTGAGGGTCAGAAAACTTTTTTCCGAGATTTGAACTGTATTTAACGGTCCTCGTTATCACTTAAACCTTCTACATTTACCAAAGAAAAATAATGGAACTGAAAGTTTTGCTGTCAACTAGATTCGAAGCTCAGACGTTGCGCACAGGCACACACGCGCACACAAACGTTTTAGGACATAAGACCGTCACTTATAGCAGCTCATTTTTGATTATCTTGTCGTAAAACCTCGAATGCACTTTTAAGACAAGTAGTATTCCATAGTTTCAGAGCGACTAAAATGTACTGTTTCATCCACTCTTAGTCATTTCCAATAGAAAGAGGTATATTTCTAACTGATCTATTATCGTTTTTCGATATCTCAGTTACTCTATAATCGTAACACTTTCAACTCGTGCGATGCTCATAACTTTGGTCTACTGATGTGATGCGCTGCTTTCTAACATGAACCTTTTATACAGAATAAATAGAGCTTCATACCTGTACCACTGGGATCATAACAATATATTTTATAAACTTCGATGTCTTTAACATGTAATTTAGATGATCCTGTAAACAATTCTTTGCCTTTGCCAGTTGTATCATTATATGTGCTTGGAAAAGCAGAATATGATCCGGAATCACTTTTATTTGACATTGAATAAATACCGATATCATATCCATATCCAAAAACTGGACCGAGACTAGAGGAATGATAAACAGCATAGGCAGTCTCACTCGGTTTAATTAAGAATTTTGTTGGTGGTTCCTCATCTGGATTTGTTAATGTAAATAAAAATGCTTTTGAATCGTTTTTATGACCTGACTCGACACTCCACGATCGACTCGTAAATCCACCAAATAAATAGTTACCAAGTTTCGCTTGTATAACAGTCATTGTTGGTCCTTTATCATCACTAGATCGATGAAAATCTTCTGCTCTGAAACCATCTCTTGTTGCTTTATAAATTAATTCCCAGTTTTGATTTGGTTTACCATAAATTGCATTTAATTTTTGTTGATATTCACTAGTTAAAAGTTTTCCTCCAATAAATAGTTCAGTGACTAAAAGACATTTTTAAAAAAGAAAAGGTGACAACGAATTAAGTGCTGCAGGATGGTGCTGCTGTAGTATTTTTTTAGAAATGCGTGTTCTATTTTTTAAAATATAACTATTCCTGCCTCATGCCCATCATAAAAGAATAAAACTTTCAGAATATACTCAGTTTTGGATTCTCCTTACAATGGATTCCTCGAAAACTATATATTCCATAGTTTTACTGAGATCTCTCGATCTCTGCAGACCGGATTTATAGATATCCTCTCAAAAAAACTCGTTTTACGAGCGCACAAGTCAAATGCATTATCATTAGTCATACCAAAAGGTGTGTTTCAAGACAAAAATGATTTGATATTTAGTGCTGTTGTTTGTAAGTACTTACGATGGACCCTCCCTAAGTTATACACTCCGTTTCCAATGACTTATATGTCGATGGACAGAGGAAAGGGTACTGTTAAAAGCTAACAGGATTTGTCCGAATGGTACCTTGTTCAGAAAGTATAGAATGTTTTGTACCTTTCCTGGAGAAACATGAAAAGATTAAAAATTTTATAACACGCTAAAAGGAGTTTGATATTCGGGAAAAGTTTCAGTTTTTCACCTTGTTCCGTTGCTGAGTTATTAAAGTTTTGATTTTCCAAAGGTTTCCCTTTCGAGACGGTCACTATGAATATGCTGTAAAATCGTTAGTTCTTTAAAAATACCTACCGAAGACTAGCATAGTTTTCACGTGGTACATGCTCATATTTCTCTGTAATACGCGCTGTTACATGGATATTTGCAAAATTTGGGTATACAAGACTTCCCGATCTATACTATTTTTAAAGTGGACTTAACTCTCTCTTTAGTTTTAAGCCGCATCTCATTTCATAGAGTAGATAAAGTGTTGTAAACTCCACCGAAATTTACAGAAAAATGAATTTTCTCCAATGTTACAGCATTTACATACGTTGGTGCTGAGAAATTCGACAAAGCATGCGGAGCCACTTTCATGTTTGTTGTAAAAAACGTTTTTGGAAGTTTAAAAGTTTTAGAACCACCCGAATTGAAAAGGGTTCCGGGTTGAACCTATGCTATTTTTTTTCCTGGGGAAACCGAATTTAGACAAGACATGGTGGATTTTGCACAAAACTGCTCAAAACTCACTAAAAGTCAATTTCTTTCAGAAACGAGGAGAAATTTCTAAAAAGTGAATTATACTTTTATTTTGTGGATCATAGCGATTCGAATGACATAAGACACTTGGCTTGAACTCTCCATCCAAAAAGTTAACTAAATTTACTCTAAGAAAGTGACGCAAAAGTACTTCTGGTTCGATTAAGCAGCACCGACGACCTACTTTTTACTTCCAAAAATGTATTTTCTACATTGAGCATCTAGAATCCTCTCTGTACTCATTTCGCCCCCGCTTGTACTAGCACACTATGCAGAATTTCTATGACTTTTAGCACAGATCTGTAATCACTCGACTTTTGGACGCGTACAACAAAACTTACGCTACATCTTTCATGGTTTATACACAAGAGCAATTTCACAAAAACAGCAAAGAAACAAAGACCATCAACAATATTAAAACGTTTAGTTTTCATTTTGTGAAGCTCCTCCAGCGTATACGATTTCCCGTGCAAACAAGTTGCATCTTAAAAAGACGCGAAGTACCCTAGTCGACCGATCTTACGGCAATCCTACAGAAATCTTATAAGAATCTTATATAAGGCAGTCGATGGAAATGCGTAATTTATTGATAAGATTCTTATAAGAAGGAATATAAGAATCTTATAAGATTCTG